TTCGGCCTCGTAGGAGTCCTCAAAGTCGTCCTCAGATTCCTCCTTCACCATAGAAGGCTTCCTTCCTAATATGGGAGCACCTTGGCGGGGTTCCGAATGCGGTAGAATCGTAGCACCATCACTTTTACGTACATCCTGCACAATCGGCTGCTCTACCTCGGGTTGGGTTGCCGGTTGCGCGTAAGCTGGTTCAGGTCCACGTTGAGAAGGCTGTTTGGTGGTTTCGACAGGCGATGGAGACGGTTGCTGGTGCGTCGGCACAGTCTTCGGCGGCATAGTCCTCTCGACTTGAGAATGCTTTTGTTGCTCAGGTGCGCCGGTAGGAACCCGAACTTGCAATTGTTGCTTCTGGGCTGGTGCCGGTGCCGGTGCCGGTACGGGCGTGGGCGTGGGCGTGGGCGAAGACTCATCAGTTGGTACCGCAGTGCCTTGCGCTCTACCCATTGTACCTTTGGCCAAGTGGGAACCACTTCTGGACAGTTCTTGCTGGTGTTTTGACTTCTTGACGGGTTTCTCAGCAGCATCCCGAACTTTCTGTTCGCTTACCAGCAGGTTCACCCTAGGAACCATCCTCCTTGAATTGGGGTCATAAACAAGTGATTGGGTTTCCGACGCCGTCGTGTTGCGCGACGCTGCTGATTCTGTTCGGCGGGGTGAGACAAATCGCTGGCTACTTGTCATTGACATGCTCTCGACAGTTGGTGATGCCGGGGGCGATGCGCCTGGCACCCTCGGATATGAAAAGTTTATAGAAGAAGTTGGGCTTACAGCTCCCGGGCGAGATTCTGGAGAGGCGACGCGCATTTGGGCATCCGACGTTCTCACGTTGGCCAAGTTGCCCTCGTGTGCGGCCCCAAACCACGATCCGGCGCCATCTTGTTTCTTCTGACTCGCTACGCGGAACGGCTGCATCTGTAGACTCGTCGACCTCTTGTGGGAGGAGCTCTGGCTCGTGATGGATCGTACGTCGTCCGGGATGTTCGGGACCGGCGGCGCATCGGCGGCAGCAGCCACTGGTGTTCGGTGTGGTGAAGGTGAGCGGAAGGTGCGTTCCGTCATGGAGCTCTGGCTAGGCGATCGATGCAGGTCCCGTTGAAAATCCTGGCTTCGCTGCGACGAGACCGATCGACTGCGCCTTTGTGTTCGCTTTGTTTGTACTTCGGCTACGTTGATGGGCGTCGTAGGTCGTGATCGCAAAGCGGCGGCGGCGGCGGCAGATGACAGAGACGAGCTGGATGCGCGTCGCGCGAATGCTGAGGCAGCTGCAGTAGCAGCATTAGGGTTTGCGGTTGCGGCGGTCAATGGCTAGATGGCAACAGGATCAGTTGTGAACCGCAGACTCCGAGCAGGAAGGTAGCGCAAGTCGCATGGGAGCAAATGCTCTTGGTGGTGGTGAAGAACAAACATGCAGCAAGCCGGTGCGGTGAGAAAACTATAAAGCTGAAAAGCATCAGTCGGCACAATGACGACATACCTGATTGGCCTGACGGTGCCTTCGCGAACCTCCAAACATGTTTGCTTTGGGTTCGGGAATATCGATCAACGGCGCATGGTCTGAGATGGTTTCGTAGCAGGTTGCATGGGATTAAAGGTGTAGGAGAAGAAAAACGGAAGCGCAGGAAGAAAAGTAAGTAGAAAGAAAAAGGTAGACTGAGGAACAAAGGCCACCGGCTGTGGTGGGAGGGGGGAGATAGCTTGGATGACTCTGGAGAGTTGGAGTTTTTCCTGAGGAGGCCGAGAGATAGAGAAAGAGAGGGCGTAGGGTGGTGGTGTTGGTGGACGTCTGCGCCTTTGAGTAGTGATGTTCTGGGGGCGAGCTGGGGTGGGAGATGTGGTGGATTAGAGGGATGGACGTGGATGGGACGGGATGCGATGGGATGATGACGGAAGAGGTGAGTCGGGTTCGGCCACGATGGGGTGGGAGGGGCCCCTGCTCTGTGCGCCGCTTTCATTTCACGTTTTTTTGCTCCCATTCCATTCCTGTCAGTACATTATCCACTCATCATTACCTATCCGTACATACTACGTACAGAGAGAGTGAGGTACCTACGGATACAGAACGACAGCAGAACGCGACGCAGAGGCAGCGAGCGACCTGCACCTAACCGCTGCTGGCTGAAGGCTTCTTCTTTCTGCTGGAATCACCCTTGTTTCGGCTCTGCCGCTTTTCTTCTTTGGGACGACGCCATGCCGGGTCTGGTCCAAGTGTCTCAAAGCAAGAGGGTGCCAATCCGACTGGCCCTGCTGCTAAAAATTCAGATGCCCATGCCCATGTCGAGCTGGCCTGGCGCTGGGCAGGAGCCATGCGGCGGGGTTGGGAGCTGTTGCTACCTTTGCTCGCGGTGCTGGCAGTTCCTTCGCTCGCGGTGCTGGCTACTGTACCTACCTTCACAGTACTTACCGAGGGCGATCTACTACGACGTTTTGTGGCAGCTTCGATGACCTGGCGACCCTGTGTCTCCCAGGCATTGGTCCACTTCCATCCGAGAAAAGACAAGACTCAAGCAAAACTTCGGCCCAAGATGATGCTACTTGGGGGGTTGGATGCTGGGAAATACCAACAATGCCGTCGTCATTAAAACACAGCTCACACAGCCGAAAACTGTCTCGTCACCGGTATACCTACTATACCCAAGTACAGAGATATCGCGCCAGTTATCACAATTACTTACCCAGTGTCGTAACGGACTCATGGAACACGCATCAATCTGGGACGTCTATCTGTTTCCATTGTCCCCTTGTCCAACCCCCGACGATCCATCCGTCGTGCCTGAGAAGTCTACCCAGAAGTCTCACGTCTTTGAGGGCACAGGTCCTACCGAACGAGCTAATCGAGTCTCGGCTGTTGTGGTGAGGCAGCCACGGCAGCCAACCGAGGAGCCGGTCTTCTTTTTGTCTTTCGCAATCCAAAAGCCCTTTCCCAGTGTTCCGTGGTTCTCATGAGCTATGGTCCCCATGGAGGCGGCTCAGCCAATGGCAGGAAGTACTACCAGCACCACCGCCGCCTGTGGGTGTACATACCAGACTATGTACACGACCACATCCACCGACGGATACGTCAAAGTTCCAGAGTGCCGAACCTCATGTGGAGTGGAGTAGCTGATCGACGTCCTCGCAGAACCTTGAGCCTGGGGGGGCTTGCGTTGCGGTGCGGTAGGTGGATGGGACAGGGTTGTTTCAGGCCTAGCCCGACTGACAGCGAAGCTTTTCCAGTTCTCTCTTCTCTGCTCTGTGCAGTCTCCAGCTCCCTCCCGAATCTCCGTGATCTACCCCTGGCCTGTTTCCTAGTGGACTCTGGGTGTTATGATTTGGAACTCTCCGGCGCAATCCCGCCGACGGCTTGCGCGGAAACGGCTTTAGCGGATGGTGGGAAGCTTGATTTCAGATCTTGTCTATTCTCATTCTCCCTGGTTTACGTTAGACGTGCTGCCCTGATTGAGGCTTTGCGATAGTTGAACATGTTCTCAAATGTCGAAAGAGAAGATACTTGATGATACCAATGCGATTCGGAGTGACTCTCCGAAGATGCCCCTCCGACGACCCCAATAACACCCACTACCGACAGCTCCATCACCCCCCAGAGAATAACACATCATCAGCCTCCAGGGTCTATGCATGCTCCCTCAACAATGATCTGCCACGCAGGGAAACGGAAAGAAACGAAAAAGAAATAAAAAAAAAAATCTCCTCAACCGTCGACGCAGTCCCAGCTCCCAGAAGACCCAAACATTCCCCAGGCGGATAGCGCGGTCAGAGCCCTCTACGGTAGCGTTGGAATCCGGTCTTTTACGCTGCGACATCCGCCGGTAGACCAAGCCATCTCTGTTCTAATTCCCACCTCACGACAAAAGTTCTGAATATGAAAGAGCCCAAAAACAGATATGGAAATCAATGTTTTGGGATAGTTTCCTATGCTTCAAAATCTCCATGTTACTCGCTTACCAATTCACCTCTCCTTGGTTCGTGAGGAAACAAAGGCCAAGCTGCAATCCAAGCAACATGAGTGAGGCGGACTAGGAGCAGCTGCAAAACTCCGAATAATGACGGAGACATGGTCTGAAGGAGCTGCTTAGTGAGGCAATGCTCTGCAATTAATGAGTCGTTAGCTTTAGGGTCGCGATGGAGGAGGCTAGACCTACCGCTAATACAACCTTAGTCAGTGCAGACATCCGTGACGTCATACCTCGAGGGTGCATCGAGCTACGGGTCTTTCCAATGAACCTTGTGCCTGAGGTAGTGAAAGTTCATCAAAGATACCCTTAAACATCGTTCGGTAGAGAAAGTCACAAACAACGAGAGGAAATTCAGGTAAGGGTGGTCAATTCTGCTGGGGAAGACTTGATGTAGTCTAGGGGCAAGGGGTGTGTGTATGTATCTTTGACAAGTAACCTTCACGAGGCGTTTGACAACCTCCCGTCTCCCTTTCCTGAGCCTCAAAAGTCTAGACCTGGCTGGACCAATATCCATCCTGACCCGCTGATTAAAGTTCCAAGCCTCCTTCAACAGCTTTCCAAATGGACAACAGAACGAGCTTGATTCTGAGCTCGACGGTCTGTTGGAAGGCATGGGCAATGCTTGGTGCGTTCCATCATCGTGGCATAGAACTCGAACTCTCTGAGACGAGTATTGCCTTGTTTTTTTTCTGTATTTTCGGTTGTTAACTTCAATTGCTGAAAATGGTGGTCGCTAGTGATAGTAACATTTTGATGATGAGGGCGTATTCCAAAGGGTGGCTGAAAGGCGCCTTTGTCCAAACCCAAGTTGATGGGTCATGATACTTCCAATATCATCAAGCAATGTCCAAGTAGGTTGGTGCTTCCTTCACTTGCCAGCCAACCGACCAATGATCAGCCTCCGATGCTGAGACCTGTGAGGCCAATGCTGTGTTGTTGTATTGATGCGATAACGGGTATAATGAAGTATGGGTAAGTGAAAGAGACCACGTGCGGTCACCAAAATCACAGTGCTGTGCACCCCAGGAAGCCCGCGAGTGGACCTCTTCAGTCAACTGCCTCGCCGGGGTCATCCACCTCATTCTGGTCTCCGCCGCAATCGCTGCAGGTTGTATGTGGGCAAGTACACTCTTGGTCTGGGTCGTCGCTGAGCAACATCGGCGGGTCGTCTTGAGAGTATGTATCTTCAAAGTCTTCGTCGTTGTGATAGTTGCCATTCGGATAATCGTCAAGATAGTCATCGCCAGGACTGGAGGTGCTCTCATCGGGGCCCATAGGAGCATGAGCGCCTTGGTCCTCGGTGTGGTTATGAGATGGTGTTGTCTTGGCGGGGGACTTGGCTTGCTTCCTGGCCTTTCTGCCCTTGGTCTTGGCCTTCTCCAAAAGTCGCTTCCGCTCCGACTCCTTCTCGCGGGCTTTCTTGTCCTTGATCTCGTATTGCCGAATCAAGGCATAAGGAGGCGAGCCAAAGATTCTCTCGTACTCGCAAAATTCGCAAATCCACATATCCTCAAGCTTGGGTGGATTTTTGTAGTATTTCTCCTCGGCTTCCTGACGACGTGACTTGGCTGCGTTACGCAATTCCTTCTCAGCAAGCTGACGCCGCTTCTTCTTTGACATGGCCCGGGGAGCCTTCTTGCCAGCAGGTGCAGGATCGCCTGAGCCAGTTTCCGTGCCGGCGGCATCTGGCGTAGTCTGTGTCGCCATCGAGGCGTGCCTGGGTTGTCTGGGGTATCCGGGGTGGGAGATCGCAGGATCAGTTCCGGGCCAGTGAGGCTTTGGAACTGGGGAGTCGCAAGTGAAGGTGAATTGAGTGGCAGTGGGGCTAGATTTGACGCTGGAGGATTGCTGATGGAGGAGGCTCACGTTTTCCTGACCCGGAGCTGAGTGGACCTTTTCTGCATTCGCAATGGCACTCGAAATGATGCCGGGATGTTCGTCTGTAGATGTAAGAATTAGCGGCGCATCCCAGAAACGCAGCGTTGCGATAAATACGCAAAATAATGCGGATGCTGTGATCGCTGTGGGAAAGGTCGAGGTGAAGGAGCTGAGAAGCTGGTGTTTGTACTCAAGGGCGTGGATGCCTGCGTTTGGAATCAAAGGGTGCAGGAGCAATCTACTGTGAAGTGCAGCTGCCGCCTTCCCTTTCATTCAACAGCAACCAACCCAGCCATCAAGCACTACAGCATCCCATCAGGCGTCTTTCGCCTCTCCCATCTGGTTTCCGTCTTTAACACACAGGGATCAGATCTTCACACTTACTTGGCGTTGCCCATTGAGGCGGCCGGATCTTGGCTCCTCTGCCCACCCAGTTGTTTGTTGCGTCAGATAGAGCCCTAAGTGGACTTCTGCCATTTCTTGATCTTCCAAATCTGCCTCGTCCTGGTCCTGAGATGCCTTGATTGTTTCCAACAAAACTTCCAGCCCCATAGTATGACGGCGATATCGATCCAGCGAGGTCACCATGGTCGTTTGACGGAGACATGACTGTTGATACACCTATAGAGTTGATATCACCCATGGAGTGCACACCAGATAGTGTCGAGTCTCCAGCAGTCGGAATCTTCCTCTTCTTCTTGTTATTGGTGTTCTCGAACGATTCGTACCCATCTGCTGAGGATGTTGTCGAAGGTGGCGGCTGAGGACTGGGGTGCTTGGAGTGTTCCGGTTTCGGAGGCTTCGTTGAGACGCGGTTGAGTATCTCTGGATGTGAACGCCGAACCACTTTGCTGCTGCTCAGGGCTAATTCCTCCTCGTCACTCTCTCCAATCGCTGGTGTTCCTCGGTTTGCTCCTCCATACCCTCCATTACCTCGACTCGCACCGTTCAAGCCTCCTGCCCTGAAGGGCATCTCATCTCGCACGATATTTGGGTAGTAGAACAGAGGACTACTGTTGTGGTTTGCAGGGGGGTAGTCGATGGAGTCCGCCACCTCGGGAGAGAGGCGTTCCCTCAAGCGACGCTTCGGCAAAGGACGAATCGGTCTCTGGGGGAATAGAGAGGAAACGCTTTCGGGAGACATTGTTCGATTATGACCTGCTTCCGCATAAGAACCATCGAGGTTAGCAAGCTTCTCGGTCGAATGGTAAAGCCTCAGGCCGGTGAGTTTCAAAGGCGCATGACCTGTGCAGTCGGCCGCCACAGCCAGCTCCAGAGTCTCGAGCGCCGGCGAAGCAGCGCCTGACATTCGCCGGAGGGTTATAGTGGCAGCATCCTTCGAAAGCAGTGGTCGAGAAGGTGGGTATGGCAAGGTGGTGGCGGGAGTTGAACTTGGAGAAGAGCGACGCATACCCATAACACCTCATGCTACAAGCCATGCAAGGCAGGCCAATGCGGACAGGGCGATTCACGTTACGAAGCTTGAGGCTGCTAGCAGTGCGACGACGGGGTTCGTATTGGTGTTGCTGAAGCAAAAAAAGGCTCTCGTTCGGTGGTGGGTTGGGAGGTTCGAGAGGAGGGGGGGGGGGGGTATGGATCCGTATTAAATGCGGGAGGAGCTCGTAACCCTTGATTCCTGAGTTTGCCCAACCATCAGCGTATGTCGGCAATAGAGAGCTGGCCCAACGACAAGCCAGACAAACATATGCTGCACGTTCAACCAGATCCGATCGATAGTTTCCTCCTACCCTTGAACGAATCAAGGGAGGGCTGCGCAAAGAGGCTCAGGTAAGGTACGAGCGGACCTCTACTTGTTCGCCAGAAGAGGGGAGCGGGCATACCAACTCGGTCCACCAGAATTCGGCCGGGTTTGCTCCGTGTTCGACTTTGGGCACCCAAGAGCTAGAATAAGCAGAGTGTGCAGTCAGGCGCAAAACACTGTTCAGGTAAAATGCAAAGGCGACTGCTGGGTTGCTCGAGCTCTGAATGAAGTGTGGGAAAGTCAGCGTTGGTACCGAATTTCCCAGCTTTGATTGCTAATGACAGCATTTGATAATGTCTGGTGTGTGATTAGGAGACGTAGGTCAACGAGGGCCGGTCGAAACGCATTAGATAAGCAAGCCAGGGCTCCGCTGCGGATGGACTGGTCGGGGTGGGAGGTTGGGGCGGGCCTTTGGGGGGGGGGGGGGTTACCTGATGGATCCAGAACCCAAAGCTCGAGGCGGACAGGCGAGAGAAAGTGACGACGGAGCGACGGAGCACGGAAGGGTTTAAAGTGATTGAGGTGGAAGTGGAAAGAGAAGGGATGCACACACACTGTGTGCTGTGCATAAAAGTGACTCGCCGCAGAATGCAGAATGGAGAGACGGCGGGAGAGCGGGTGGTAAATTAGGCTTGGAGATTAGACGAGCACCGTTGGCAGGGGAAAATCATGAACTGTAGCTTTGGGCGGGGGACCTGTGCTTGGGACTCTGGGAGAGGCCATGGGAGAGACCATGGAGAGTGGGTGCGGAAGAAAATCCCTGATGCTGCTCAGTTGGCTGGTCTCAGGTACTCCGATTTTCTGCCTTTTTGGAGGGCAATTTGTGGGAGAAGCATAGTGCCGCCCCAAGTTGCGAGTACACAGACTGTCATCGCCATGGTTTTTCCGACGGCGGCACAGCACAAGACGCACAACACAATTCCCATCCCATCCCACCTCCGCCCCCGAGATCCCTTCCTCTCTTCTGTTTTGTGCAGGGACTTATGCACCACAATCACCTGTGTAGCCATTGGTAGACGGCAGCCCATTGGCAGCACCTGGCCCCAGCCCCGCAAAGCTGCTCTTTTCCCTGGGTGCGTTGCTCGGAGGGCAGTGGCAGACGCAGTGGCAGCTCCTGCACGCCAGAGCCAAAGAGGCTGCCGCACCACACTTTACAAGCCCGAAAGAAGTGCGGTGCTGCTGCTCTGTCGCCTGTCGGTTTTCCTTCACCCAGAGAACCATTCTCCCAGGGCGCACTCTTTCTCTGACCTTTTCCACCTCCCCACGCCGGCTCCTCTCTCTTCTCTTCTTCACTCTACCGACCCGTCACGACATGAATCTACCTTGTTCTCGATTGTCAGATATGCGAACTGTTCGATCTCCTCAAAAGCATTGCCCGAGTACCCGAATCCTCCCTTCTCACTAGCCCGGACTGCGAGTCGCGCCCATCCATTTCTTGCTACCTGCTCTCTCTCTCTCGCTCGCACGATTGCCCTCCCACTACAACCACAACAACCCACCCGACCTGCTCTCTGCCCACTCTCGTTACCTTACCTTACCAATCTTCCCCCTCGCCCCGACATTCCAATTCTACTCTCTGCCTTCTGGCTTCAACTCTTGCGACTGCGACATCCTTTACTGCGTCACTCACACGCCGCCGCCGACTCTTCCTCCCCTCCTCCTCGCTCTTCCGAACTCTTCCTCCACCCTCCTCCTCCTCTCTCTCCGCCGTCCCCTTACGCTGCCTCAATGGCACCACCCTCCCCTCGACGTTCTTCACGAGCCCGAGGCAACACAGTCTCTCAATCACAGCAATCCTCGACAACTTCGAGTCTTTCGAGTCGCGGCGAACGAACGACCAGATCCCTCAACAAGACCTCTTCCGCCAAGTCCACCCCGAGCGCCTCGCTCTCTTCGGAGCCACCCGAAGACCTGGAGGACGCCCTCCCCTCACGGCGCCGAACCCGCGCGCAAGAAGACGCTCGCGACAAGCCTCGTGTCGATCCCTACGATATGGCCACCGGCAGTGACGACGTCCAAGAGGACGACGAGTCCGTACGCTGCGTATGTGGTTTCGACGAATACCCGGGACCTCCGCCCTTTGAAGAGGACTCCAAGCACGGGAAACACAACCCAGAGGCCGACTTCTTCGCTAGCATCGAGTTGTCAGATGAGGTCTCTGGTCTCTTCGTCCAGTGCGACGTCTGCAAAGTCTGGCAGCATGGTGCTTGTGTCGGCATTTTCACCGAGGAGAGCTCTCCCGATGAGTACTTTTGCGAAAAGTGTCGCAAGGATTTGCACAAGATCCACGCAGCAGCCAACGGGTAAGCATCCCACCTTCCGTCCAGAAGCTCTCGGTGACTTGTCGCCCACAAATCCGCCATTGGCTGGAAAGCGTCGGTCGGCGGCGAGGTCACCGGAAGACTTGTACTCGGATGCGGCGAGGCTCAACCAACAACACCTCTTATTACCTTAACAATGCTGATTTTTTGCTCCTCAGACAACGGTACTCAAACTACTTGCCTCTCAATCGTCCGTCGCGCGCAACATCCCGAGCCGCCTCATTAGTTAAGGATGGCACCAGATCGCCCAGAGAATCAGGCAGGAACGGGGGCCGCGCTTCTTCTGCTACCCAGGCCTCGAAGCGGAGGTCAACAATGAACAGCCGGGATGCCGCATACGACGAGGATGAACAATTGCGGCGGGCCATCGAGGCCAGCAAAGAAGAAACCATTTCGGAGCCCACGGAGACTACGTCAAGACGAACGAAGCGAGGTCGCAGTGACAGTCTTGAGTGAGTCTTCAATCTTTCACTACGCTGACTCCCGCTAACAGTCCCAGGAACTCGGCAAGCCTCAAGAGACAGCGAACCAGTTCGCCATCAATGTCACCGCCCCCAGAGAAGACCGAAGCCATCGAGGATGAAACAGACGAAGAAAGTACGGGTAGAAATGGCCAATCAAAGAAGCCTCGCGGCACACGTACGCAACGTGAAAAGTCGGATCGAGAAGAGCGCGATCGCCAGCGAGCGGAAGCAGCCAATCGACGGAAGGGTCGTGCAGATCGTAGGAGAGCTGAGGGTACGACTCCTGTTAATCCGGGTAAGGAATCTGAGGCTCACGTGGGCGCAGAATCGGATCCGCCAGAAGAGGTCCCCCTCGCGACAGCTCGGCCTGCTGTCAAACCGACCACCGAGCCTGTGGTGCCTGTCGAGGCGCCACCGTCCTCTGCCCCGACCCCGGATACTCCGCCTGCGAATCAGGCACCGGTCGGAAGCTCACACAAGAAGACCAGTCGTAACAACCAGAAGAGGGGCAAGGGTCGAAATCAATACACAAAAGACCGCGACGATAACGAAGACACACCAGCAAGGTCAATGTCTAGAGACATTGGCCGGAATCATGACGACCATACTGGCGCTAGTACCAGCAAACACTCCCATTCCGACCACCCCAAGCACACCCGGACAAAAGCAAATAGTGCGCATAGTAAAGTATCGATGAACGACATGAAACGCAGAGTTTCGGCGTTCCTCGACTTCATTTCCAAAACCCAAGTGGAATTGGCTGGCGAAGCACTACCGGGATCCAGGAGTAGCCAGAATAGCTCCCAACAACAAAGTCCTCGCGCAACGGCTGCGCCAGATGCGCCAAAGATTAGCGTCAACGGCGACTCCGCAGTAGCAAAGAATTCACCAATCGGCACTGCAGCAACAGACGGGAATGGGCCGGAGTCGAAAGATTTTAAAGCATTGAATTGCGTGGAAATGATGGATGCCCTCACGCGAGACCTGCTGCGATGGCAGAATCAATATGCGTCATGAGCTGGCCTAGATTGGCCGTAGCTGCCCTCTATATAAGCGAAGAGTCGCTCACTTGAAGCCGAATGGTTGCTTTCGTTTCGGAGTACGATACTAAGAGTCTGCCCTCGATGGCATCTGGCGACTCTGTACGGTTTGATGTTTCGCGGCGTTTGGTCTGTTTTGGGGTGCTGAAAATGTTATTCGAACAAAAGACTGGAAGGCAGTTCAATCACGAGCCATTGCTCATGTACGCACTGGTTGTGCGGTTCTACTGTCAGTTGATAATGTCAGGTTCGAGGAGAGTTGTCGGATACCCGGACACTTGCGAGTCTCCAAGATTGCGGTCGACGTTGTTAGTGATGCACTCAAGTTCGGTTGAGTTTGCTTTTTCATCTCAAGTATTTTCCAACCTGATCTACTCGGTTTCTATTTTCTTGAAGGATAAGGTGTACAAAATTTGCTCTCATACGAGGCAATGTCTTTACTTTACATGTATTTTGATACAGAGTGTGGGGGTATCTTTCCATAATTCTCACACGGGACAATTTTACTACTACTCACTTTTTGTGCCCCTCAAACCGCTTTGCTCTTGTTCATTGCCCGCTCTTTCCTCGCCTCCTTTTCCTTTCTCCGCGCCTGATTCATGCTGAGCGGGCCCTGCCCTTCCCTCGCCAGCTCCTTGTCCTTAAAGGCCTCGTCGGTGATGTCGTCGAGCACAAACTTGCCCAAGTTCCCGACCCTCCACTGCTTGACGATCCAGTCGGCGGCGCTGTCGGCGTTGGCCTCCCCTCCGCTCTTGAGCTTGCCCGTCCTGCGGGCGACGCCCGTCAGAAACTCGTTGACCTCGTTCGTGGGCTCGGAGTACCTGGCGTAGGCACCCGGGTCGACGAGGTTGAGGCGGTAGAGGAGGTAGTCGGCGAGGATCTCCATGGGGATGCGGTCGTCTTTTACGGAGCCGGCGAGGGCGAGCTTGACCATGCTTTCGGCTTCGGAGACGAAGGGCATGAAGACGCCGGGCGTGTCGAGGACGAAGACGCCTTCGCCCAGGCCCATGGTGTCGTTGCTGTCGCCGGCGCTGCTGGTCTCGGAGTCGAGGATGCGCACGGGGGAGGAGAGCTTGCGCGTCACTCCCGGTTGCGCGCCGACTTTTGCGACGGATTGTTTCTTGTGCATGCCGTGGACGCGGAGCTTGTTGAGGAGGGTGCTTTTGCCTACGTTGGGCATGCCGACGACGATGGCGCGCATGCCGGTCAGGCTGTCGACTGAGCGGGCGACGCTGCGGATCTCGGAGAGGAGTTGTTTCGTGGTGGCGGGGTCGTCTTTGCGCCAGAAGACAACGCGCTGCCGGGTCGTGGAGGTGTTACCGCCGCCGGTGGCAGAGCGACCTGTACCATTGTGGAAGCGGCGGAGGGCTTGTTCTACTGAGGCGGGGCTGTCGGCGCCGAGGTCGCGGTGGGTGTAGACGACGATGCGCTCGCGGCCGGCGATGGCGCGGTCGAGGACGGGGTTCCAGCTGGTTAGGGGTACGCGGTAGTCGCGGCACTCGAGGACGAGGCCGACGTCGGAGAGGCGGGAGGAGATTTCGCGGAGGGCGGCGTGGTGGTGACCTAGGTAGTAGGAGCGGGGGATGGATTCGGAGACGTCGAAGCGGAGGCGGGGCGCGAAGGCGGCGGTGGTGGCCGTGGTTGCGCTCCGGCGTGCGGCGGTCGGGAGCAGCATCGCCGGGGGGGGGTTGTGGGGGTTGAGATGGGGACGGGGGTTGGGGGGGGGATATTTGGGCACCCTTGTGCTAAGGATCCGTTCCTTGCGATCACCTTTTCATCGTTGGGGGAGAGCAAATGACTGCCTTGGAAGAAGTGCTCGGTGGTGGGAGGGAGGGGCTGACGCTTGCAGGTGGTTGAAGCTGATAATCTCGGAGCAATGAAGGTTGGTTCGTGTCGAAATTTCTTCAGCCTGGCGCCGATTGTCCGATAGCCTCGCAGCGGTCGCATCTTCTGATTGGCTGTGGCTTTAGATGATCCCTGAAAAGGGAGGAGGGGCAACCTACTGGCCCCGACGCCGATGAGCCATGACGTCAGCCTCGAGAGCTATCCCAGCTTGGACCGGGCGCACTACGTACCCTTGGCTGTCAGTGGGGTCATGGTCTGCCAAGACTGGCCAATGAGCACGTGGGGAACGGTGGGATGTCGATTTGTCGAAACGGGGCCCGAACCTTCTCAAAAAAGAGAAGCCCTGGTAAAGGTGCTTGGGAAAACTTGTTCGAGTCAAGGGAATCCATGGACCTTGGGCTGCAAGATGGAGTTCGTTGGGATGAGCAAAGGTTTGCATTAGCGGTATATTGTAGTGTTTTGAGTTCTTTACGCCTCTGCCGTTTAACCGTTCTGGCTTTTGTCGAGTGTTTCTTGTCTATTTTCAGTACCAATCTTCGGTTCCTATCTATTTCTGGGCTTTCAAGATCATGTACATGATTACTTCTATATCCTGTAGATCGCCATAGCACATTTTTTCTCATTACCAGCGCACTGGGTTGCCATCTCTCGTGTATCTAACGACTGCACACAGGCTCGTTCTGTGTTGATAGTCGTAAAAGCCCCCTCCCACATGCCACCAAATCTTACGCCCGCGGGGCCAGACAATGACCGCGGACCACCCTCGGCCACATCACTTCGACACCAGGACGATGTTATAACGCCGGTCCGCGAGTCGCACGGTCTCATCAGCGACAAGGCAGGGAGGAGGTCTACTGAAAAAGCAGAAGGCCCTGATGAAGTTTCGGTCCACGATACGGGCTCAGAAAGGCGCCGAAGTGGACGACACAGCAGTGACAATGACACCAGCAACAGGAACAACCACAGATGGCGTGGCTACATGAAGAGAGATGGCAAGTTGAGGCCATTCAGGCTGCTGAAGGAGGACTTTGGCAACTTCAGATTGAGGTACCTCTCTGACTGGACCGTGTTCAATCAGCTTGTCCTGGCGAGCGCGGTGTACGTCTTTTTCACCAATATCTTGCCCGGCATCACGTTCGCGAGCGACTTGTATGTTTTGACTGGGGAGTCGTGGGGCACGATTGAGGTGGTGTTTAGTACTGGGCTTTGCGGCATCATCTTTGCCTTGTGAGTTATCTTGTTCGCCTGAGAGTTTCATTATCCTGAGACATCATCGTCTAACACATTTTCCCTAGGTTCTCAGCTCAACCATTGACGATTCTTGGTGTTACGGGGCCGTTCTCAGTGTTGGCGGAGAACATTTACACACTATGCGAGAATTCATTCAAGGTGTATCATCTTTCAGAAGAATACAATGTGACCAGCAAACTAATTACGGACAGATCCCCTTCCTACCCTTCATGGCCTGGTCCCTGATTCACTCGGGCTGGATGCACTTCCTCTTGGCCATCTTCAACGCCCATGACTACACCATGCAATACGTCACCGACTTCAGCGCCGACATCTTCTCCCTCCTCAACAGCGTAATCTACTTCCACAAGGCCATCAGGGAGCTCCAGCGCACCAAAGCAGCCGTCTCCCTCGCCGCCTTCCTCTACTCCATCATCGGCGCCGCGGGCACCTGTCTCCTCGCCATCGCCCTCTCGACGGCCGTGTCGTGGAAGCCGCTGTTCCACCGGTACATCCGCATGGGCCTGACCGAGTATGCCGCCGCCATCTCCATCGTCTTCTTCATCGGCATGCCGTATGTCGGCGACCTGGCGACCCTCGACCACAACAGGCTCGAGGTCTCAAAGTCGTTTCGGCCGTCGTCACCGAGCCGCGAGTACTTTTTCGTCGAGTTCTGGAAACTTCCCATCGGCTGGATCTTCATCGCCATCGTCCCCGGCATCATCATAACCGTCCTCTTCTACTTTGACCACGAGATCAGTAGCATTATCTGCACAGCCAAGAGGTACGGCACCCAGAAGCCCGGCGGGTACGCGTGGGACGTCATGCTCCTGGGCATCACGACAATCATGTGCGGCATCCTCGGCATCCCGCCCGCCAACGGCCTCCTTCCGCAGGCGCCGCTCCACTCCGAGTCGCTTATGTACACCGTCTACGAGGACCCGCCGCCCGTCGACGAAGAAGCCGAGGAGGAAGGGCCCGGCGAAGGCCCCCCCGCGAAACCCGTCCAGCGCGTCCACGAGCAGCGGTACTCGGCCTTCCTCCAGGCGGCAGGCATCCTGCTCTTCGTCTCGCCGCCCTTTCAGCACGTGCTGGGTTTCACGCCGACTTCGGTCCTAGCGGGCCTCTTCATGTTCATGGGTTTCCAGTCGCTGTCTGTGAACCCGATCCTCACGAGGATCTGGCACCTTCTGACGCCCATTTCGGAGCTGCCTGCCTTGCCTCACGGCGCTAGTTGGATAGGGATTCATTGCTACACGATCGCGCAGATCGTGCTCACGGGCATCGTCTTTGGTGTCACGTTGACTGTTGCCGCACCCGGGTTTCCCATCATTATCATCATTCTGGTGCCCGTGCGGTTGTTCTTTATGAATAAGGTTTGGAGCCGGCAGACGTTACGGTACGTTGATGGATGGGCGACGCGGGAGGGAAAGCCGGAGGACGACGAGAATGATCGGCGCCGGGAGGGTTTGGTTGCGTCGAATGAGACATCTAGGCGGGTTCCTGATGAGGAAAGGGGGTCCAAGACGGGGTGAGGGTTGGATTTAGTTCCTGGTGGTAGGTTAGCACCAATGGTGTACTTTACAACTGTCCCGCTCTCTGTTCATTTTGGTACCGGTACCTTGTATTTGTGTCGCATTGTGACATGAACGACACCCCAAAGCTCTGTACACATGCCAAATCTGTATGAACAGGTGGGGTTTCTTCTAATGGACAGCTACCCCCCACGCCAACATCCGGTGACCCCTCAAGCCACGTACCAATCCGACAACATCCAGTCCTTTTCAAATACAGGTTGAATGGTTGCACCGGGTGATGGTACCCGTCAGTGGCGGCATCCTCAGAGGCTGCAGAGTCGAGCGGGCAATGTGTGACCCCATTGAGACACCTCGGCACGGCTGTTCGATCACTCGATATGACAGGTGCCCTGATTTTTCTGCTGTGACAACTTCACCTTCTGTCAGACTTTTACACGATACCTCAGCTTCATCAACTATAAAGGCTGTCGGCACCATGTCTCTGTCCGTGGCAGGAAAATACGCAGTCATCACCGGCGCAGGATCAGGTCATCCCTCTCCTAACCCACTCCTCCGACATCAACGCTCCTCCCGGGACCACCGGTATACTAACACCTCACAGGCATAAACCTCGCCTTTGCAAGATTACTCCTGGAAAAGGGCTGCTCCGTCATAATAGGCGACCTCGCCCTCCGCCACGAAGCACAAAAGCTCCTAGAGCAATACCCTCACCCCCAACCCGGCAGTAACACCTCCAACAACAAAAACAACAGCGACCGCCCCTCAGCCCTCTTCCAAGAAACGAACGTCGCATCTTGGCCCTCCCTATCCCGTCTCTGGTCCAGCGCTCTCTCCTCCTTCCCCCAAATCGACATCGTTGTCCCCGGCGCGGGTCTCTTCGAACCAGCATGGAGCTCCTTCTGGCACCCTCCCAAGACAGGAACGAACCCGGACAGTGAATCAAGAGACGCGGCGGACGCGGAGCCGGGAACGTACGCCGTTCTGGACGTGAATCTGACGCATCCGATCCGGCTGAGCCAGCTTGCGATCGGGTACTGGACGCAGGAGGGGAAAGGGGGGTGTTTGGTGCACGTGAGTAGTATCGCGGGGCACGCGGCGGGGATCGGGTCGCCGTTGTATATCGCGAGCAAGCATGGTCTTCACGGCTTTGTGAGGTGCATGGCGGGGATGAGGGATCGCTTGGGGATTCGGTGTAGTGCTGTTGCGCCTGGGGCCGTGATGGTGAGTAGTATTCTATGTCAATGTCTACACTCTCATGTGCGGGTTGCTGAAATAGACTGTTGCTAACGAGAGGACACAGACTCCAATGTGGTTGGAGGACCCGGGAAAGAAGCACATGACGCAGGGCGAGGGCGTCGAGCTGTTCCTCGAGCCGGAGGAGGTTGCGAGTGGCATGCTTGAGTTGTGCGAGAATCCAGAGTACGGTAACGGGACGATTCTGGAGGTTTCCAAGGGGGCTACGCGCGTGGTTCCTTTATATCGGGCTGAGCCGCCTAGTGGTGTTGGTGTTGTTTTGCCCAGGCTAGCTGAGAATGCGGAAAAGGTGTGGAAGAAGCTTGAGGGTCCTGGGTTGCAGATTTAGTCTGCCGCAGAGGGCTGGTAGCCAAGAGGTATAAATTCAACGTCAGTAGCCATCTGGCTCTTGCCCAATTCTTGCATGACTGCCACTGAAGAGGGTGAATCGAAGTTTCGGTCCCCGGGCTTTCCAACATGATTTTTTCCATCTCGCGTACCAAGGTGTTAGCAAATGACTGACTTCTCAGACAAAAAGTACGGGGCGTCCTTGCCCGTTTATAGCCTGTTCTTCATCGACTATGCACGCGACACCTAGAAACGCACTGCGGCACTTATAGTCTAGTTCAAGCCCAGGGTATCGATACGTGAATTGCGATTCTGTATGACAGATCTCGTCCAGTCTCCCACGAATGAGTGGATCGACACTACCAACGCATACTAGGATGAGCACAACGAGGAGATCGAGGAAACCAACAACTAAGAGGTAAATATGGTGGGTGAAAGTCGCTCAGCAGCTGTGCAGTTAGTGCGATAAAACATCAGGATGGCCAGTCTAACATTACCTACCAATCCAGTCTGGCATTATCAACATCATCGCCGAATCAAACAACTCTTATAGCTGCTGCCCGCCGCCAGCCAGCGACCAAGATCTTAGTTTTCTCAATATTCAATAGAACAGAGCTCCCCAATGGCCAGAGACGAGATTCAAGAAAATCCAACACGACGAAACCGCGGCTACGCTTTTGGGTACCCTGGGAGCAACAGTCAACAGTATTCCTACCTTCGACAAAGTCGGCCTTGATCATTTTCTACAACAGCCTACTGCCGACTTCGGAATTTTCTATGACATCTTCCCAGGAACGATTCTGGCCAGCCAGCGGCAGAAGTGTGAGTCCGCGACAGCGACCGGAGTGGATTCCGTGACATATCGCAACTACATCACTTCATCGAATTTCCCAATCGGGGAAGACGTAGATGACCATACCCCAAAATGACAGCTGCGCCTCGACGATTTGAGACATCGTTGAACGCCACATCCACTGCCTCCGCATTCCTGCCCGACCTTACGTCAGGAATTCAAAGCCTCATGTCCATTTCTGTTGTGTAACCAGTGTCTAGGTCGTCGAGTCTCGACTCTCCGGAACTCTATGAAGACCATGGTCCGATCAAGACATTGAGATGGAGACGACGATGCCGAGGCGGCCGCACCTTGAGCTATTCAATCCAGACTCTGCAATAACCAAAGGTGCCAGCTTTGTATTATTCCAACAGTTTCCGATAGAAATTCGTCTTCTAATTTGGAAGCATGCGTTGCAGCGTCATCGGATGATACATATCATCCTTGAAAAAGGAAAAGAGCAGAGACAAGAAGATGAACGCATTGTCGACGAAACGGATACTCTCATTAATAGTCTGGGTCGTCGAATTTCTGGGTACCACTATGAGGCCATCATCGAGACGCAACGGTCCCTGTTACCCGATCTCACGACAGTGAACAGGGAAGCACGAGACGCCGTATTATCGTTCTATTCAACGCAAGTACCATGCCGATTTAGACGTGACAAACGTGGCGAAACAATATCCATCATCCGACTCAACCTGGACTGGGATTACCTCCGGGTCTCCCACGGAAAAGCCCACAATATCTTCTTCGACTTCATCCACGATCTCCGCGCCTACGACCCCAAAGGCCGCGGTCTCCAGCACCTAGTCGTAGAAGGATCCGACTACCGGACATCAACCCACAACCCATCGCCACTCAAGCACACCTTCGCCGAAGGCCCCTCCCTAGACGCCTTCAGAGCCACCGCCGCAAAAAACCTCAAAAGCCTCTGGTTCAAGTGCACACCGCGCGGCGCCCGCGCCCTCAACGTGCTGGACTGGAGGCGCGTCCACGTCTTCAACTACGGCGTCCCCGTATTGCCGAGCTTCACCTTCTTCGATGCGCCGCTACCGGATCCAAGGGTCGGCATGCGGGATCTTGAAAGAATTGGCGGGACCGTGTATGATCCGAGGGAGGGACCCCTCGGCTGGCAGAAGCTTCTTCGTGATGCTGGCGTGCGGCCTGAGGACGTGGCAAACAGAGGACAGAGCCGAGATCTGGACGTCCGTATTTTGTATGCCTCGAGCGAGGAGGAGTCCATCCTCACCCGCGAGGATGCGGTGAAGGTCCTTCATGAAGAGGACTTTCGGTGGCTTGAGCTGCAGTGGTGGTTTCATGGGTGGGACACGCCAGCGGCCGGAGGACGTGCCGGCGGCGAGAGACCGGCAGGATGTTTCTCGACCGCGTCGGGGTTGCAGGCTAAGCGGCCCGAGTTTGATGGGCCTGAGGTGTTGGCTGCGGCGCCGAGGCCGGCGCTTGGGTTTTGGTTATTTCCTGTCGAGGCGTTTGGGGGCATTCCAGGAGTGGAGGAGGAGACGGGCAGCTGGTTGAAGGTGAAGTGGATATGGGATTTGAGTCCGCATCGGCCTGAACTGGCTCTGGTAGATGTATGTTGATGCTGGATCTTGGCGACTGATTTGGGGGTCGATTTGGTGTATGAGTGTTCGAGAAGACTGAGAATAAGAGACGCCAAGACACTCATGCGTTGTGAGTGACTCTATACAGTCGCTCATTGCTTGTGGATTCCAACTCAACCATACTTTACTTGCCAAACAAGGCGTTGACGAAGATGTCAGCGAGGTCGCTGACAACGGAATCGACGAATGTATCGATGAAGACATAGAAGAGATAATCAACGTAAGCCATGGTGTAAAGACGTATAGCCACAGCCTGTAGTGGTTCTTGACCTTGACGAAATAAGCGAGGTAACGAAGATGTGATGCGTGTATGAGTGGGTGTTGGAATGTGGTATACATCAGTGACTCGAGGCGGCGGCATCATTCTTGATGTCAGCGAGGAGGGTATCTCCGATACCATTTTCGCAAGCGATCGTTACCTTGAGGGACGGTGCAAGTTCGGCTGGGTACACCCAACCTTACAAGGTGGTGCCGCACCCAACTTCGCCACTTATAGGGCCAATCCGTAGTCATGAGCAATGCAGGAGTCGGGGCAATGGCAGATACCAAGGAGAACGAGGAGAAGGTCCCACTCATCACTGCGTCCAATGGTGATCGCTTGGATAATGGTCAGGATGTCTCCCACCACAAGGCGCACGATGCCGTACTCGTGCACGATCGTCGTTTGGTTGTCGGCTAATCGAATCACATTGGCTCTTGCATCTCTCCTCGGGGGATGCGATGTCTCTCAACGAACGTGAGATTGATGACATCTACGGTTGAACCGCCGTCCAAGAGGATGCTCGAGATGCGTACATTCTCAATGATTCACGGTTGAAGCCACAGCGCCAGTTGCGAACCTCGATACCTAATGGGTGAAAAAGAACTGCCTAATTTATGTTTTCTGCCGTCACCTTGTGGTCTTCTCATTTAACGTATTCGTCTTAAAGGAACAACGAATACGTTTAGAGTCGAAGACAACGTTAACAGCGACAAAGGGACATTTCCTTTAGGATCTAGCCATATGGGCCTAAGAATACATCAAGAGAGAGAGAGAGAGAGAGAGAGAGAGCAAACCAAGGTTCCTGCAACTCCAAGAGACATTTAGAGACCCATCAGGGTTCATGTCCCGAGGGGAGTGAATGCAAGACTTGCCTACGATTGTGAATGCACGATGGTCTCAACACTGCTTTTACACTTGGTTCTGTGATAGTGGGATGCAGGTAGATTAGTACTTATGCTTACCGAACGACAAATGAGCTGTATGAATATAATCTCTGGTGAACCGAGGTTCTAAGAAGATATCTGAATCTCTCATGTTCATGCTGAACGAAGTGCGTGTCTGTGATCATTGTTGTGCAGAGCGAATGTCTGCGTTGTTTTTGAAGGTCAACTCTGTGATCGACGGTGTGGGTGGATGGGAAGAAGACTGCCTTGAAAAAGCAACGGTCGCTCAATACGACACACAACGAATTGAAATTGGAAGCTGATTCAAAGAATTCTAAGAGAGCTTGAACCTATCCGATTACAGGCAGACTCCGATTCGCTCCGTCAGAAGAAGGGGAGAAAGACAGATAGCCTATATACGAGTCATTAAAGGTCTCCTAAGAATCAATCAAGTTTGAGATCACTCATAGCCAGTGCTATCATATGCAAAGCCGTCAACCTCAATCATGAGACAGATCTACAAACATCTATATAAGACCAAATATACAGGCAAGTATGAATTATTGGTGCTCCTCTCCGAAAGCGAGCACCTCGTCTATATCCAGCATCTTGTACGGCCCCAGCTCGAAGGCCAATCCATCCTCCTTGTGCTCCGGCGTCCGGACAGCAGAGCAAGTCATGTAATCCGGACCCAGAGCTCTCAGGGACACGTTCGCATCCTCCACCTTGGCCCCCTTGAACACAATTTCATGATCCGCGACCGCCTCGCTTTCGGCACCAAAACTTTCCGCAGGCGTCGGCGGCCGGAACTTTTTGAACTGCAGATCCCCCAGCCAGGGCGCGAGGAGCGCCTCGCCCGTCATCTTGACGTACGCCTCCCGCAGACACCATAGCGCGTAAAAGCACCGCAGCTTGAAGTCGGCCGCGTCCTCGAGCGAGGCGCCCGGTTTCAACCCCGGCGGGATCGCCGCCAGGACCTGCCACTTGAGGAAGTTGGCCTCGATGGGCGAGAGCACGTCGGCGTGGACGTCGACGAACTTTGGCCAGCCCTCCTTGGTCAGCATACCATGGTCCCTGGTGCGACGTTCCGAGGTGCATACGATGTCGACGCCCACGTCGACGGGGGCCCTCGCGGCGACATCGTAGCCGTGGACCGCGAACATGGCGACCAGTCCTGCTTGGTGGCTCACGTTGAAGCTCAGCGGGCTGGTGCCGTCAGCGGTGCGAAAGATGGGCTTAGTGCGCTCGTCGCGGATGGCAGTGGCATCGTGCCAGGGGACGCCGCAGAAGCGACTGATGGCGTAACGTTTCAGGAGGTGCGAACCCAGAGACAGCTTCGCGTCGCGAACGTGGTAGTACTTTAGCACGGCTTTACGCTCATCGGCGCTGAGGAGTGCGAAA